GCGGGGCAGCCATGGGAGATTCCGCTCAGGAAGGATCTGTTATCTCAGGCGAGCGGAACGATCTGGCATCACAGCCCCGGACTGTGGAATCTTTATGTGTGGCCGCTGCGGGGTCGGTGAGCGGGCGAGATGCGCTTCTCTTGCGTGCTTTGGATACCGTAGAGGAAGCGCGAGCCCCGTCCACCAGGCGCCTTTATGCTCTGAAGTGGGGTGTTTTCTCTAAATGGTGCCAGGATGGCGGTACAGACCCAGCGAACTGCTCTGTGTCGGTTATTTTACGCTTCCTGCAGCACAAGATGGATGAAGGGAGCCTGCCGTCCACTCTGAAGGTGTATGTGGCTGCTATCGCGGCGTTCCACCCCCCTATTGACGGACAGTCTATCGGTAGGCATGCGTCGGTGACACGGTTCCTCAAAGGGGCTAGGAGATTATGCCCTGCGCGTCCGCCTTCGGTGCCGCCGTGGGATTTAGCATTGGTCTTGGAGGCTCTGTCGCGCCCGCCATTTGAGCCTTTAGCTTCTATCGCTATTAAGGAGCTTTCGGTCAAAACGGCTCTGCTTCTCGCTCTTGCTTCGGCGAAGCGAGTTGGGGATTTACAGGCTTTCTCTGTGAGTGATGACTGTATTCGCTTTGGACCGGGAAACTGTAATGTAACTCTCAGGCCGAGGCCGGGCTATGTCCCTAAGTCGCTCAATACCCCGTTCAGAGCGCAGATTGTTTCTCTGCCTGCACTGTCTGCTGAGCCATCGTCCTCCCTGGGTTCGGATGCTCAGAATGCTGTTTGCCCAGTCAGAGCGCTCCAGGAATACATTTCTCGCTCGGCCGCTTTTCGACAATCGGACCAGCTGTTTGTGTGCTTTGGTGGGTGCAACAAGGGACGGGGGGTCTCTAAGCAGAGGCTTGCTCACTGGATCGTGGACGCTATTGTTTTGGCTTATGTTTGCCAGGGGCAGGAATGCCCCCTTAACGTCAGAGCTCATTCGACTAGAGCGGTGGCTTCTTCGTGGGCTTGGACTAAGGGTATGTCTATTCAGGATTTATGTCTTGCGGCTGGCTGGTCTTCTCAGAACACGTTTGCCAGATTTTATAAGCTGGACTTGCCCTCTGTAGCGTCTCGTGTACTTTCGGTGAGTTGATTTTTTGCACAGTATATGCGAGCTTCTCTGCGCTGCGCTCATGAGCTGCTCTGTGTGTTGTGTTTTACTGCGTCACCGCTTGCGTTGGCCTTATTACTGTTGTTGTTGCCCTGACTGATAGTTAGTGCAAACTTCCCCGGTTATACTGCTCGGGATATGCAAATTCTGGCAGTGTTTTGCGAGCTTGTGATTGGTTAAATTGGGCCTATCAGAGGTTAGAGGTTCGCTATTGGCCAATCTCAGCCTATCGGAGGCTTGCATACTGGGGGGCGGTCTTATGTTGGGTCTGTTGTCTGTGGTTTGTTTACACTGCCACGGCGGGATTTTATACAGTTCCCATATACGACATCCGTAATGTCGAAGTTCCGTAGCCTTGATAGGGAACGTCTCCGGTTACTTTCGTAACCTCGGTTCCCTGAAAGGCAAGGAACGAGACATTACGCTCGCCACCGTGTTCGCTATTGATTTAGCGTTCGTTCGATTCTAAAGAAGGATTGACGCTGCATTGTACTTATACTGCATGTTCAGTATTTGCATATTTGCGTCAATTGGCCAGCTTTGCTGGCGTTAGCCTATAAGATTTCAGCGGAAGTGAAGGAGGAGAGGAGTTCCCATATACGACATCCGTAATGTCTCGTTCCTTGCCTTTCAGGGAACCGAGGTTACGAAAGTAACCGGAGACGTTTTTGCTCACCCTCAAAAAGTGACAACTTTAACATGCTATATAAAAATATCTGTGCTGTATTTTGAGCTAAAACTTCACATACACACTCTGGGGGCATCAAAGACATATTTTACATCTTGTGAAAAGGGCATTATACCACCCCTTTAAATATGTCATTTTGGTGATCAAAGATGAGTTTTAAGGGATACAATTATTGACTACAGGGGGACTTTAGAGCTTCCCACTCGTATTTACGACATTGTGGTGGTAACTTGTATATGATCTTTATGACATTTAATGCACCTGTCGTGGAAATTTTAGGCTGAATGTTGGGCTGACCATGTTTTAACATTTTACCTTATTTTACATGCTAACACTCTGAAACAATGTACTAAGACGTTTTGTACTTTGGATGAATGTATGTGTGTCTCTTGGAAGAAAACCCATGACTGTGTGTATAAATAACATAATTTGGGAAATGAAACTAGACCGGTGTCTAAACTCGAAACTAAAAACAGAGTTTGATTACCTAGTAACCAAAGGGCTTGTCAACGAAGAACCAATCAAATTAAGTAATGTTTCATGTCATTTTTGTCATACCTTATCCTTATTCTATAAAACTGTTGTATTTGTGTTTACTCGGGAGATTCTCAATGGGATTTGTCTGAGATCCACCGGCCATGCTTAATGCTTCTTTTTGGGAGATTCTCTGAAAACCGCTCGAGACTCCCGGCCGTAATAAAGAACATTTAAAGGACAATGACTCAAGTCTGTCTGCCATTAAAGCTGCGCAGCAAGAGAACAAGTAAGTTGGATTATCGGCTCTGGATGCTGTAGTCGACTGGAGACTCACTGGATATTTAGACGGATGCTGTAGTCGACTGGAGACTCGCTGAAGTATAGTTAGGGAGCAGATGCTGTAGTCGACTGGAGACTCGCTGAAGTATAGTTAGGGAGCGGATGCTGTAGTCGACTGGAGACTCGCTGAAGTATAGTTAGGGAGCGGATGCTGTAGTCGACTGGAGACTCGCTGAAGTATAGTTAGGGAGCGAATGCTGTAGTCGACTGGAGACTCGCTGAAGTATAGTTAGGGAGCGGATGCTGTAGTCGACTGGAGACTCGCTGAAGTATAGTTAGGGAGCAGATGCTGTAGTCGACTGGAGACTCGCTGATGTCTAGTTAGGGAGCGGATGCTGTAGTCGACTGGAGACTCGCTGAAGTATAGTTAGGGAGCGAATGCTGTAGTCGACTGGAGACTCGCTGAAGTATAGTTAGGGAGCGGATGCTGTAGTCGACTGGAGACTCGCTGAAGTATAGTTAGGGAGCGGATGCTGTAGTCGACTTGAGACTCGCTGAAGTATAGTTAGGGAACGGATGCTGTAGTCGACTTGAGACTCGCTGAGGTATAGTTAGGGATCGGATGCTGTAGTCGACTTGAGACTCGCTGAGGTATAGTTAGGGATCGGATGCTGTAGTCGACTGGAGACTCGCTGAAGTATAGTTTGGGAGCGGATGCTGTAGTCGACTGGAGACTCGCTGAAGTATAGTTTGGGAGCGGATGCTGTAGTCGACTGGAGACTCGCTGAAGTATAGTTAGGGAACCGATGCTGTAGTCGACTGGAGACTCGCTGAAGTATAGTTAGGGAACAGATGCTGTAGTCGACTGGAGACTCGCTGAAGTATAGTTAGGGAGCGGATGCTGTAGTCGACTGGAGACTCGCTGAAGTATAGTTAGGGAGCGGATGCTGTAGTCGACTGGAGACTCGCTGAAGTATAGTTAGGGAGCGGATGCTGTAGTCGACTGGAGACTCGCTGAAGTATAGTTAGGGAGCAGATGCTGTAGTCGACTGGAGACTCGCTGATGTCTAGTTAGGGAGCGGATGCTGTAGTCGACTGGAGACTCGCTGAAGTATAGTTAGGGAGCGGATGCTGTAGTCGACTGGAGACTCGCTGAAGTATAGTTAGGGAGCGGATGCTGTAGTCGACTGGAGACTCGCTGAAGTATAGTTAGGGAGCGGATGCTGTAGTCGACTTGAGACTCGCTGAAGTATAGTTAGGGAACGGATGCTGTAGTCGACTTGAGACTCGCTGAGGTATAGTTAGGGATCGGATGCTGTAGTCGACTTGAGACTCGCTGAGGTATAGTTAGGGATCGGATGCTGTAGTCGACTGGAGACTCGCTGAAGTATAGTTTGGGAGCGGATGCTGTAGTCGACTGGAGACTCGCTGAAGTATAGTTAGGGAACGGATGCTGTAGTGGACTGGAGACTCGCTGAAGTATAGTTAGGGAGCGGATGCTGTAGTCGACTGGAGACTCGCTGAAGTATAGTTAGGGAGCGGATGCTGTAGTCGACTGGAGACTCGCTGAAGTATAGTTAGGGAGCGGATGCTGTAGTCGACTGGAGACTCGCTGAAGTATAGTTAGGGAGCGGATGCTGTAGTCGACTGGAGACTCGCTGAAGTATAGTTAGGGAGCGGATGCTGTAGTCGACTGGAGACTCGCTGAAGTATAGTTAGGGAGCGGATGCTGTAGTAGACTGGAGACTCGCTGAAGTATAGTTAGGGAGCAGATGCTGTAGTCGACTTGAGACTCGCTGAAGTATAGTTAGGGAGCGGATGCTGTAGTAGACTGGAGACTCGCTGAAGTATAGTTAGGGAGCAGATGCTGTGGTCGACTGGAGACTCGCTGAAGTATAGTTAGGGAGCGGATGCTGTAGTCGACTTGAGACTCGCTGAGGTATAGTTAGGGAGCAGATGATGTAGTCGACTGGAGACTCGCTGAAGTATAGTTTGGGAATGGATGCTGTAGTCGACTGGAGACTCGCTGATGTGTGAACGTAGCTAACGTCAATTATATTTAGACGCGCTAGCGTATAAATTATACTAGAATAGTTAGTCTTAGGGAGACAAATCTAAAAAAGTTAGGTTTGAGGATTGAAAATCCATAACACACCATTAGCGATGGACACTAATTCAACCAGGTTCAAAAGGAAATGTGCCAAATGGATGCGTTTCAAGGCCTCAGTTAAGAAAAAAAATGCTATTTAAACTTAATCAAACTGATGACGAATTCATATTATGCCATACATTTATATCAATCCTAATTAAACATACTGGTCAATAGCACGTGAAGGCAGCAAGTAAAATTGCCTCCTTATTGTGTGTCATGCGATTACATAATCTCTTTTCATGACTGCGTTTCCGTGAAGTTCAAAGGTCCAGACGCCTGTAGGTGTTTATAAACGTTCAACAGACAACATCTGTGTTTAATCCGGCAGAGAGAAGAGCCACTGATTTATACTCATTTTTACCATTTACAAGCACAATGGCGCAAGGGGAAGTACACAATGTAACTGTTTCTCAGGGAGTTCGTATGCTGTTCAGTCTAATGACTCCTAATGAATCATCATTCGCCACTGTACAAGAGGTGCCGACATATGTTAATCAGGTAAGCCTGACGTCATTATTAAAAAAATGTGAAAACAAATACGAGATTATATAGGCTACTGGCTACTTATTAGAGCTACACTATGTTTAATAACAACAACACACACTCGTGGAGAGAGTTCGACAGAGCTTACACAACAGAGCTTAAACAACTTATGTGAGGTTTAGGCTACATGTTTTTAAATCAAAACTCGTTTTTTTGTTTTAAAAGTTAAAAGTTTTGTTAAATGCACAAGTATAGCCTATCGTGCAAGACGAGTGCCTTGGACAAAAACACAGTAGGCATCATACAGTGAAAAGTTCAGTTCTGTATGTGATGTAGCCTAGCCTGCTGTATTACACAACGACGATGGTTGAAAAGATTGACTTTCACCTTTCGTCACCTTTTGGATCAGGTAGTAGATGTAGTCTACGAATTTCAAATGTGCTCAGTGTTGGATGATTTTTAATATTAGCTACTTCCTCAGATTTTTAAATCATGCCAATTCATATGGTCATAGCTTTGTACAAAACATCTGTAGCCTAATGGTTTCTTCAGTATTGATAATAATGCTTTACCAAACACTTTCAGACACTCTGACATGATGCTCTGTTTGACTTTAATGGAGACTTCACCCATGTTTTCTAACAACAAGTCTAATTCTAAGTGTTTAAATGATGCCTTAATTCCACATTGTGTGGTTTCTTGATTTTCATCAATGTGCAAAAACAGTGAGCACCATGCCTGCAACAATTGGAAAATAAGTCTGCCACCTGTTCGGGTTTTTAAGCCCCGCAGCAGGGTGCTCGCTTCTCACATTTTAACAGACCCATATGTGTGTTTTTTGGTTTGGCTGTACTCAAATCAACACATGTTTGTTATTTGAGGTAAAACACTCACATTTTTACAGGCCTCCATAAACACATGAATAGAGAAATTGCAATTAACCACACTGCAGGAATCCTAATTGTTGTAATTCTGTCACAAACACACACTTGTTAAATTGCCTCGCTCGCTATTCCTGCAGAACTTTATTTGAAGTTTCTGTCTCTTGATGTGTGTGGGTGAGAGAATAGAAATTCTCTGTTTTCTTGTCTCTGTCAATACACGGATTTGTGCTTTTGACATTTTAGATATTTTCTCCGATCAGTTTGATTGAAAACTGTCATTGCAGTCCCATTGTTAGACAATAAATGTTTAGTTGAAACAATAAAATGTAAGTCCACAATATGACCAAGAAAGCTAAAGAAAAAAACTAAAATACTAACATCTGGTTTACAAATGTTATTTTTCCCCCTGGTGAGATCCGAGTCCACAATCACAGCTTTATATACAACTATTAACAATTTTTGCAAGCTTAAAAAATGTTACTGAAGGGCTAAATAGCTGTTTTCATTTATTTTATCTTATGTATAATTAAAAACATGCTAATAACCATTTTTCAAATATTCAAAATTGAAGTGCACTTGTTCCTGTAGTTTTCTTGTTGCAAATACAGCAGCTCATTGAAGTTAAATATATAATTACATGTAGGTTGAATTTCATAGGTTTCATAAAAGGTTTGTAGTTTTTGAAAGGTATATAGGTATATAGGTTTTCATAAAAGGTTTTTTTCATATATGTTGCACTAGCAGCTCGAGATTCGCTGCAGTCGGCAGCCAGATGTGTCCAGGTTTGCGTGTGATAGGGGTCCCCAAGTGGTCTATCCTGCCTCAGTTCACATGTACACACACACACACACACACACACACACACACACACACACACACACACACACACACACACACACACACACACACACACACACACACACACACACACACGTCGAGTTCCACCTGTAGATCTACTCTGTTAAGCCCTGCCCCCCCCCACACACACACTCAGTTCAGTGTGCGTGTGTTTTCATGTGAGAAAGCGAGTCTAGGGTTTCACTCTGCGAAGAGTGACCCAGAGTTCTGCCAGCACCACATCTGTTAAGTTTTTAATTAGTCTTTTGTGATTTGCCCTAGGTTTTGATGGGTAATCCAAGTTCAAGAAATCCTGAACCTCAGAACCAAATATTTAAAGTTAAACCTTGCTGGCAAATTATAATTTTGAATAATGTGTCTGGTGTTCAGAAGATGGACATGATTGTTTAGAGAGACCATCCTTACAATTCCTTAAACTCCAATCCAACACACTTTGCATTGAAATGTACTTGATTTGATTTTAGTTTTTTAGTGCTTTTTTATTTGTACATTTTATATAATATAGTTTAGTATATTTATTATACAATATTTAATATATTTTACACACACACACACATATACACACACAAACACTACCGTTCAAAAGTTTGGGGTCAGTGAGAATTTTATTTTTATTTTTTGGAGGAAAGAAATCAATACTTAATTTGATCGAAAGTGACAGTAAAGACATTTATAATGTTACAAAAGATTCTATTTCAAACAAATGCTGTTCTTTTGAACTTCCTATTCATCAAAGAATCCAAAAAAAAAAAAAAACTGTACAACTGACAGACCAACAACTGTTTCAACATTGATAATAATAATAAATGTTTCTTGAGCATCAAATCCTCATATTATACTGATTTGTGAAGGATCATTTGACACTGAAGACACTGACACTGGTGATGCTGAAAATTCAGCTTTGATCACAGGAATAAATTACACTTTACTATATATTCACACAGAAAACAGCTGATTTACACTGGAATAATATTTAATACTATAACTGATTTTTGTTGTATTTTTAATCAAATAAGCGCAGCCATGGCTAGCAGAAGAGAATTCTTTTAAAAGTATTTAAAATCGTACCGACCCCAAACTTTTGAACGGTAGTGTATATACATATTCTTTTCTTTTATCCCATGAATTTGCTACAGAATCATTGCACATACTTTATCTATTTGCTGACAGAGGTCTAGTGTGTTGAATTTTTTCTGGCTGTTACAAAAAGTCATGTGCAACACTTACAAAAGGCGACTTATTCTTTTATATTAAGATGCAGCACTTAAAAGTTTCCATGAAATGTACTAGAGTCAACCCAATATAATTATAATGATTGTTATGCTGGTGTTTATTCACTGCTGGATTTATGATTTTTGTGTGTTGTAGGCCACACCGTATTTCATTGGTTTGATAATATTGGAGATTGTGTTGGGATGGTTAAAGACAGATGGCCCTCGCATCAAGATCAACGATTTCATCACATCTTTGTCCGCAGGGATGATGTCTCGTCTGCCTCAGTAAGTTGACAACAACTTTCCCAAGTCACAGATTTACCTCACAGAAATAGTTATGAATCACAGGAAAGTATTGACATGTCTTAGATTTCAAAACTCAATTTTGTTGACAGTCATGCTGTATCCGATATCACTTGACCTTACAACGAGGTTGTGCAGTGTTTTGAGCACTGAATTAAATTGATAACAAAACTAACAAAACAAAACTACAAATTCATGTTTCTCTTGTGCAGTAATAGACTCCATGACAGGAGCTCTACTGATATGACTTAATTCAGCTCTCTGTGTGTCTATCTCAAGGCTCATGATAAGAAGTTTGGAGGTGTCAGCTTATATTTATGTCTGGAACAACTTCCGTTTATTGGAGCTTCCCTGGGATTCAGCTTGGACGTGGTGGCTTGCGTTTCTTGGTGTGGACATGGGATACTACTGGTTCCATCGATTCGTCCATGGTATGTGGATATCCTGCCAAATGCACTGCTTATATCCATCCATCTGCTTTAAAGGAGTTCGCTGAATGTAAAAATGCAAGGTCATAACATTCCAAAATTTACAGGGTGTGCTGCTTTCTTCTTGTGAATTTTAATATGATTTAATTATTTAATCTAGCATTTTTACACATTTCAGTTCCAACTGGAATAGGAGCCATTACAATCATTTTCAAAACCCATTCATTCAGTTTATAGTGATATAATGACAAAAACAAAAAACAAAGAGTGCCATAAAAGTGGTCCATATGACTTCTGAAGCCGTATGGTAAGTTTTTGTGAAAAACAGACTGAAATTTTGGTCATAATTCACTGATAATCCTGCCAGAATTAAAAACATTAACTGAGTTTTTCACTGCGAAGAAACTAGCTTTTGAACATGTTTAAACTAAAGTACTGTAGGAAGCATTATTTGTATCTGAAGTCATATATGGATGTTAGTTTTATGTTCTTGCCATAATGGCTGGTTTAGTTCCATGATAATGTTGTTTTGACCCCTGTGTCTTCAAGGATCGTATGTCTTGCTACATTTGCAAGTTCATAACTTGGAAAAGCAACTGTTTTTGATTTACCTCAGACTCTATAGGAGTTTTATTTTCCATATTTCAGTAAACACATTTATATACAGTATAATCTGTCTTCAATCCAGATGTGGAAAATGCATCTTAGATTAAATGCCTTCTTTTTTTTTTGGCCTTGCATACGAAATATCAATCTGTCAAGAACTAGGCGATTGCAAAAGACACTTATGTTTGCGTAGCATGAGAGTTCAGGCAGAGAGCCGTGAGAAGTGTGTCCAAACAGAGGATAACGTTGTCACAGCTGTAATCTTTGAGTGCTGTGGTGTTTTTCTTCTTTCTTCAATAGCAGCCGTCACAGAATAGCATTGCCAGTAAATATACTTTGTTACCATACTGTAGGTTGTAAATCTGCTTCTCAACAGTTTGAGATGGTGGATCTTGGAGCTCTCCAGTATGCTGGAGAATATGAAATCCTAAATCCTACTTTTGGTTTACCAAAATACAATGTTACAGACTGTTTAGTTTTTTTCTAAAATGCACATTGCTCAATAATTTGCCCCATGCCCTCTTCTACTCCACAAGTAAACATCCACTGTGTCAGAGCAGAGGCCAGTGCATTGACTTCAGTTTCTTCCGAATAGAAAAGGTAAAAGCAGGCCACTGCCCTTCGCTTCTGAAGTATGCTTACCATATGCTACACCAATTCCATCCATTTGGGATTTAATGTTGATATGATGGCAGGATGTTTTTTTTTATTACATCTCTCCAGACTTCACTTGGACCCCTAAATAAAGTGATGAGGTGCTTGTGGCTGTCATGTTATGTTTTCCATTGTCCCGAGTTCTTGCTCCGAGTCGGAAATGTCATTTTATGTCAGAGGTCTCCTGTGCCCAATTTGTTCTTTTTGAAGTCAGAGGAAATTATTTGTCTAGTTTTCTATTCCATTGCTGTCCAAGATGACTTCTTTTGGATATGGTATGATTCTAATTCATAAAAGACCCAGACATAATGGCCTTTCTTTTAAGGATCGTCGTAGTTAGTTTAGCTGCTATACCTTTGTAACCAGAGAATATTACTGCGGGGCTGGGAAGAATGGGAAAAGTGATCGTAGTAGCAATGGGAATCGTAAGGGATTCTGCTTCCAGTCTTTTGACCATTTCCTTATAAAGAACTGACTCAAAAGAGTAATTTGCTACTCTGGTTATACTTATTTTTGTTGAGTGTGGGCAACTCAAAAGGATGTTTCTTGTTCAAAATAATAAGGTTGTCATGTCATATAATTTTAATATTATTTCATTATATTTTATTGGTGTTATCAGTAAGAGAAAAGTTGAATTTATCACATTAAAATTAAATGCAACTATATAGAACATCTTCTGTTTTTTATGTCCATTGAGTGTAAAAAATGTGATTGATTATTTTCAATGACCAGAAACCTGTGAGCAGCAGCTCTCGGACTAAACCACATGTCCACCTTTGTTATTTCAGATTTCACTTCTGACCACTAACTTGAGAGGTTAACAGCTGGTCTTAAGGTTTAGCTAATGATCTCCGAATATTTTTCATACTCAATTTTGGTTCAGTTGGCGAACAAAAGCTTTTATCTAAAGCTCTATTCTTTTGGGACTTGTAAGCTATAAATCTTTATTCTATAGCATGAAAAAACAATTTTATGGGCATAACAGCAGAAATATGACCGCTATAAAACTATACTGACCCTAATTAGTGCCATTGTAAAATGGAAAAGGTTTTTTTGATCATTTTTATGAATTAAATTTTTTCCTACACAGGTCAAAGGTCCTTTTTTGATACTATAAGCATGCTAAGATGTGGTAAAAATGCTGTAATATCTGTAGCATTTAAAATTCGTATTGTGTAGTAGGAAGTTAGGAACCCAATTTTTGCATAAATTCACAACTGCCCTGAATGACTTTAAAGCTTAAATTTAAGACTGATTTGTAAAGTAGTTGTTTTTCCTTGTCTGAAGTAGCCATTTAATATAGTTAGAAATTCATATCCTCATAAATCAAAGACTGCTTTTGGCCTTGGTGGCTTTTGATGTTGTCCAGGCGTCTGCTTCTGCGTGAGCTATTTGCATGCGTCCATTCTGCTCTCTTCTGTCATTCTCTGTCACATTTTTTCCACATGTTGCCTTATTTTCCAATTGCCTGCAAACCTTTATTGCGACTCTTAGTGGTGTTTGGCCTTTCCATGTCTTCCTCTATAGCGATGCCACACTCCACTGTAGCGGGGCTGGCTTTCCGACCGCACGGTCGGTTTTGGCAACGTAGGCCAGACGAGGTTTATGGTTTAGCCCGGACTAGGTTAATGGTCTTCTAGATCCTTTTACGCATCAAGATGTTTTAAAATCTGTAGACAGAGAAGTGTATTAAAATAGCTGCGGTCCCCAATGTGCAATATAGGTAATGCGGTTGTTTGCACTCTCTACATCTGCTTTTGTTTTAAAACAAAATTATATTTGTTGCAATTTGGATCGTTGATATTTCAGATAGAACTTATAGTTGTATTTACACCATTTACCCAGTGTGTTTTACTAGTGTGTGTTTTACCACCGGTAAACAACATAATCATAGGCACCACACTCATTGGCGTCAATAGGAGAGAGATTTAATGCGGCCGGCTCGTTGACAGCAGTAGTAGCTCTGTTTGCTCTGCCGCTCTCATACCAACTGTGATTCAGGTCCCCATATGCTACCATTCCCAAAGAGCCCCACAAAAACCTCAGCTTAACCCTCCATTCAGGAACTCTGAAGCAGCCCGATGGGCTAGGAAGGCCATGGTGGCTGCTGCTGCATTAGGGCTCCATCAAGTTAGTCTTTCATTTCGCAGTTTCATGAGTCATGAGCAATGACAGATGTATGGTGGGCTCCAGAAGTCTGAGACCACATTTGGGTTTTTACTACTTCCAACTACTATCTACTGTAGTTTAAACATGGAAATACATTTTTGGATTTTGAAAAACCTAAAACAAAGGTCAAATTAATGGGAACTATGAATAAGATTTGCACTTCTTCTTGGGTCACTAATCAAGCAAAATACTCTTGCTTCCATTTAAAGCAAAAGATACACTTTTTGTATCCTGATATCATGCTGGAGAACACAGGTTTTACAACAAAATGGGTTTGTGCAAAAGGGACAAACCAAATATGACATTCTGAAATTCATGTAAATTTAACTTTGTCACATTTTTATTTAATTAGTTGAATTCAGAACATTTTTTACAAATGTTTTATATCCTTTTTCAGATTGAAAGTTTTTTTTTTCCCTTTTTTTCCCCCAGTAAATATTTCATTGCATCCTCAATTTTGAGAAGATTGATTTTACTACAGTAATGCTGTCAGGTAGGATTGCTTTTAATGGCAGACTCGCTTAAATAACCTTAGTTTTGGTGATTAGTTTGGCCTAAGGTTGCATTCTGTGTTTCCTACAGTAGATGTGTAGCATGACGTCTTTAGATTAATTACAAGTCCTGCAGGTCTTTGGATCTGGAGTCTTACTTGTAAGCCCAACTTTTGTAAAGCAACATGCATTTTAATTCCCTAATTCCCTCTCCTTTTCATTCACTAGAGTCACATAAAGACATTTGAATAATGATAGTTTGGAAAAACATTTGGTTCGTCCAAGGAGGATATTGTGTGGGTTTCTAAGACACGTTTTTTTATCTGGTGTGCAGTCTAGAAGAAGTGTCATATTCATGTCTTTTTACTTTATTTTGAGGTTGAAGTTGAGGCTAGATGCTGTAGGTTTATACAGAAGGTCATAAAGCTGGATAGAAACTATAAACAAGTTATGGAAGGCATTACGTAATGTTACATTCTTTATCACCTCACACCGTTCAATGTTTTTCAGTGGGAAAGGTGTTTATTGCACTTGAGCCACTGGGTTTTCCAAAAGTAAGCTTTGATCATATTAGAAATGGTATTTTGTGGCTGTCATCGTTGGAAGTGCTTGGGGCAAAATGAGTAAATATTACGACTGATGTAACCTTGTAAAGATGCACAGAGGAAGGTTGTATGGAAGGTTTGACTTTATTTGCACATTTGTAACTGGAATCCGAAAAGTTATAAAAAGAAAAAAGTTAGCTTTCTCCAGTAGCAAAATGTTGCAGTAGCACATATGTTTACATATGCAACCTTCCGATATCATGTTTGGGATACAGTAGTGGCACACGTTTAGCGTTTACGCAGACGCCGGCAGTTGTCAAGACAAACAGATCACGTCAATGCCGCCACGGGGCGTCCCAAAGGAGGCCGGGACTGGATGTTATTGTTTTCAAAAGGAATCCTCTTGGTGGAAGGCGGCGGGGTTTAACCCCAGGCCACGGGGGCTTCATAAATCTTCTCTTGCCTCTGGAAGTCCCCGGCCATGCAGGTTGGAGGGCGTACAAAAGAATCGAACCGGCCAGGATGTGGAGCCAGGGCTCAAAACCAGCACCCCTGGGACACTGCAATAATATCAACAATGTCCAGCAAATCAGCCACTTGTGTTTGTAGGCAAGTGTGTGCATATGTAAGTTTTGGATGAAGCCAAACCAAGCCAGTCTAAAGGGGTTGTCTCTTGCTGTGTCAAAGATTTTGTCCTTTAGGATAGGAGTCTACCTCCACCATATGCCATGAGTGAAGTAGGACTAGGAAAAAAAACAGATTTTCCAATTAATTGACTGTTATTCTTAAAAGTAAAGCGTGTAGCTTCTGCGACACTAGTGACACTTAGCGGGATTACAACAATAAAGAAACTGTGCAAACGTGCCTTCTCACGTTACGCCTCCCCCAACTCAAGCATCCCAAATACAGCTCTTAAGGGTGTGAAGGCGTTTCTTAACAGGTAAAGGTTGGCTACCTTCAATAAAAGGTCCAAAATGTTAGGAATACTTTTATCTGTGTTGCTAGGTGTCATGATTAATTCGCATGTGACCTGTTTAATCCTGCAGTCCATAATTAATGAATAAAAAATGCAGTGTATTGCAATATTATAGCAAAGAAAAAAAAAAAACTTCTATTGCGTTGTCCCTACAGGCAGAAAGCAATATCATAGCGCAACCAGTGTAGTCTGAATCAAGAACAAAATCATTATATTAAACCTATACTTTTAGTGAATTAAAAACATTCAGCACAGCTGTGTGATTCACGAACAAATGACAATATTGTACCTAAAATGTACAGTAAGTTTACTCTATATTAACATATTTTTGAATTAAACCATTTTATAAGAGCAAAATCACTCCTGCATTTGCGCAGTATTTCCGAATATCAGCCATGATTATTCCTGTGCAGTGAAATTCAAAATATACCACTCTTTTTTTACTAAATGTCTCCAGCAGCAGTTTTGAGTGTGAGCAAAGACATCGTGAAGTATTGTGGTGACAGACATGGGTTTGTGACTGTTTGTGTTGGCGTCTTTTGTTTGCTGACAGCTTGTCCACTCTGCCCAGACGTTCACAGTTCATTGATAACCTGAGTGACATGGCATGCAGTCTCTCGCCACGCTGAGGCTCAGTGAGGCCCGTGGCATCATGTGGGGCCTCGGCACTAGAGCTGAGGAGGTATTCACATGTTAGATGAAAAGGGAAAACTCAATATTTAATGCATGTGATGAAAATAACTTGACTGCCAAGTGTTCTTGGTCTCTTATAGTTTTTATTAATAGGTTGTTTGAATGTGCACATGTGTAGCACATTCAAAAATACAGTAACATATTTACAAGTAGAGAGATTTAATTTATTTTTCCTTTCAAAATGTTTCGTCAGTACACTTTAAAGTGTGCACTGTAATGCACAATGGTGTAATCAGTGTATTTTCTTGTTAGTTTAACCCTTCATTTTATGGGGCTTGTGTTAAGGCCTCTCACCCTTATTCATCTACTATTACAGCACAGTTATGTACTGTGATGGTAATTGTACACGAGTCTGTATGTTTCTGTTCCTGTACTTTGCATCCATACCAGAGTTTATAGATAAGAACCTATTTAAGTACAATAGACCCTGACCTTAAGGTGATGATTTAGTTTTCCATAAAAATGTACATAAATGTCTTTATTCATTCATTCTGAGAATGTCATGACGTGGTTTGGATATTAATTTGCATAGAGAATAATAGTTTGCCTTGGGCCAAAGTGTCCATTAGCAGATTTACATTTACATTTAATCATTTAACAGACGCTTTTATCCTAAGCGACTTACAAATGAGGAGAGCAATAGAAGCAGTTGAACTAACAATAGGACAACAATATGCAAGTGCTATGACCCTTCCCAGTTTAGTCTAGGGCAGTTTAAAAAAAAATAGATGTAGAATAGAAGAGATGCCCCAGCAAGCACCCAAGTAACCCTAGTTGATATCTCTCCTTGAGTGTTGAGACCAAACTAATGCTTTTCTTTATCCATTTATAGTACATACTGCTTTCTGTGCAACTAAATGTTGTTCATCCCTGTATTCTTGAGAAAAGAACAGTATCTCTGTGTCTGAGCAGACCATGGTCTTCAGGCATGATGGGAAAGTCTTTTCTGTGGCATAGGTTCTCATCATTAAAGCTCTTCCCCTCTGAATACTGCCTGCCAAACTATGCGGCTTCCAGCCGAGGCCTGCGCACGAGGACACGGATTGCAATGAGGCCTAGCTGAACATACTTCCTACCGGTGACACCCCACATCAATCTTACACTGCTCTGCCCTAGGAGGTGAAAGCATGGGCTCACACACTCTCAAACACTGACTGGAGCTCTGCGGGTGTGTTTTGAGAAAAAACTCTGATTTCATCTCTTGATTCAAAGCAGAAAGCTCTAAAGAGTGTTATTTATAACAAAGTAGTTTTAGCTCTTGCAATACTTCATTTAAAGTTTGGAATTTAAATCTAATTCTATACTAGCTTGAAGTGCAGAGACAACTATAAATAAACTATGTGAACATTTTTTCTGTTGGTTTGAGAATCCTGACACGGCAACAACTGATGTCTGTTTGTTCAATCAATAGCAGAAAGGGGAAATGTTTGGGGGAACAGTTTTAATTTTCATACACACTGAAAGCATCTCTTCCTGGTCCTGTTATCTGGATTAAGTGGACTGGTTGAAGTTGTTTTCTCAATGGAGAGCTTCGACTGCTCACTTTGCCACTGGCCTGGTGATTCTAACATCTCAGCAGAGCCCCACTGGCAGGGAGGAAGGTTTTGTTCTTATGCTCTCACCACGATGTGTTTTTTCAGCTGGATCACAGCATTTCACCGGGAACTTCACCAGCTCTTAGATTTGATGGACCTCACACTTACACAAGGCCTTCGACAATCTCCGAGAAAAATCCTAAAGAGATTTGACAGTGTTGGTCATCTCATTAGTGCTGCTAAGTACGGCGGTCCTGTAGACTTCATTGAAGGAGGAACCCAAGCTGTATCAAAGGACCAGAATATCAAGGAGACTTGAGGGTGGACTTGTGTTTTCATTAGAAAATGTAAAAACAAATAAAAGAAAATAAACTATTCCAGACTTCACAGAAGCCTACAGTGGCTGTTTGTACATTTTATTTTAATTATTTTATTATGTTATTTATTTTATTATTTATTTTTAATTTAATTTAAATTTTATTGATTTAAAAAAAAATGAGAATTTTTTTTATTTTAAGAAATGTTAAAAAATATTTCCATGAGTCTCATTGTGATTAGGTTACTTGTTCTTACTCCTGGTGCATATTCAGAAGCATGCAGTCAAATCGTTCTGCCAAAAAAGAGATTGTGGCCTGAATATGGCTCTTAGAGTCCCCCTTTTTTTAGTGTGCAAACTATAGATATTCTTATATCAACAATTTCAAAACATGTCTAAAGCCAAAACATAGAAATTAGTCCAATTCATTGCTGCTTATCATCGGTTCAGATTCTGCACATTATTTCAGCAATGTCACTCAGCTGTGTCTTTCTCCTTTTTTGTCGTTTCAGAGTTAAACTTCCTGTGGGCTGCTCATCAGGTTCACCACAGTTCTGAATACTACAATCTGTCGACAGCACTACGCCAATCTGTCACTCAGCAGTTTTCCTCATGGGTATGAAGAACCTGCATCTCCCTAATTAACCTATGATAATTTTGGCATGATGCATGATAGATCACATAACAGTTATTAGTTAATGAGCTCTAGCCGTGTAGCTAATGACCTATTATGAAGTGATAATATTTGATGTGTTTTATCAGCTGTTTTACCTTCCGTTGGCGCTGATGGTCCCTCCGTCGGTGTTTGCAGTGCACATACAGTTTAACCTGCTGTATCAGTTCTGGATTCATACTGAGGTACTGTGGATTTGTCATTACTAATGGTTTAGCACATTTCAAAAACATTGTGGCACATTATGTGATAAAATTAAGCCATTTCTTTGCTCTCAACTGTTTCATGTTACTTTCATAGCATGGTAGACTTAGTGTAGCCATTTTCAAACTCTAATCTTTTGTAGGGTTGCAGTTTTGCCCGTTCTGTGGTTATGAATACCACACTCAATCATAAGTAATGAGATTTCGAGATTTTATGAAATATTCCAAACAGAAGCTTTACATTTGCCATTTAAATGGGCTTCAGTATCGGCTTTACATTCGGGGATCGTTTGGGAAATGGATTTGGAATCACTTCCATCTTGTAGAGCTCTATTAGTGAAACCAGTCTTCACGTCTCCAATTTTCTGAGGGGTATAATTTATGCTCCCTTTATAGGCTTTTTTTTTTGATGTCATGTAATTTATTGGCGTCGAATTCCCAGCCCTCATCCAACATTAGAACACGAGTTAAGTCGTGAGGGAGCTCTTTTCTTTTAAGATAAAATTCAGCTGTTGCCAGATCTCTCATTACATGGAAATAATGGCCCACTGAAATACGGTGCTCACTTATGCTGAGCTGTTCCCATTTTGCAGACGTCAAAAATCAAATACTTAAGTAAAAAACCTGATGGTCAGCCCTAACACCTGCGATATATTCTCCATCAAGCTGAAATTGATGTTTATAACCTGGTAAAATAAGGCTTTGAATGTGTATGTGTGCATTTAACTCGCCATAAAGCTTGCGCATAGACACGCACACGTGTATTTATGAGTGTGTGTTAGTAGACTTAATGGCTTCTTTATTCTTCTTCTAATCCAATGTAATGTTTGTTTTACATCCAATCTATAAATATTGTTCTTTCCATCTGGAAATCTGGCCACCTTTTTCTTTCCGTAGTTAGCAGAGTTTCGACCGAGCTCATCAGATAAGAAAACACTATGTATTAATGATGTCTCCAAGTACATTCGTGAACATCTGAACCAGTCAACGTTCCACAATCCCTGAAGAGCACATTTCTTCAGCATGTAATGCCAAGATAAAGACAAGGCACTCAATAGGGAAAATTAATCACATGTTGTATGTAAGACTAATATTACGATTCTGTCTGCCTGTCCATATGAAAAATGTCAAAGGAGGACAATGGGCTAACCCATGATCATTTGTCTTTGGGTGTTTTGTCTGTGGTTTACACACTGAATATAGGATCGACCTGTTGCTGTTGCCCTTTTGTGCATTAAAGGAAATAGTTGTTAATAAGGTTAAAGAGAGCGTTCACCCAAAAACGAAAATTCTGTCATCATGTACTTACCCTAATATCATTCCAAAGCTGTATGGCTTTATTTCTTCTCTGGAACACGAAATAAGTTATTTTGAATATTGTACTAGTCATTTTTGTCCAAGTAGGTTTTCAAATAATGATACAAAAATTACACAAAAGCACCGTAAAAGTGAACCCAAATTAAAGTCCTTATTAATCGATAATCTTCCCCTTCGGTAAGCCGTGAACCATTGTGAATGGATCTTTGAATCAGTGATCTTTGGGTACCAGATCAGTCAGATTTGTGAACAAATCAATTCAATTGTTTTTTGTGAACCAGATCAACTGATGTCAAGATTGTCAGTTGAATAACGTTCAAATTTCTATGTGTTCCTCACGTAAAGCTGTCATATGACTTTGAATGTAGCGCACAAGTCACATATTTTATGGTGCTTTGCATAATTTTTGGAGCTTGGAAGTCTGTAAGAATATTATCTGTGACCTTGTGCACCTTTTTCTATCACTAGCTGGTCAAAGATCTTGGACCTCTGGAGTGGATCCTAAATACTCCCAGCCACCATAGAGTTCATCATGGTAAGTGTTATTAACTTTGACAGTAGAATTGCATTGCACTGTTCCCATAATGCATTGCTGTTAGTTTATCACTGTGGGTCAAAAGCGAAGCCGATTTTGTCGGATCTTATCATGTGACATGAGTAACACTGTGTTAATACTTCATATGCCTCATTTTTAAAAACGGTGATGCCGTAACGACTTGTCATTATCTATGTAGTGAATCATTAACATTTGACCATGCATTCGCAGGGCGAAATCCGTATTGCATAGATAAGAATTATGCAGGAATTCTGATCATATGGGACAGGATGTTTGGTAAGTTCTGTCTGTATATGCTTTCAAAATGTCGACCAATAGGTTGTTGTCGTCTGATTAATGAAAACAAGCCTGATCTGTGCACTAGTGGCACATGCATCCATGCATTACATTCATGTAATCTTTCTACTGTCTTTGGGAATAAAAATGGCACAAAGTACAAATTAGTAGTGTAAATTATAACTTAAAAACACAAATGATGATCTGTCACTTTTTGTGAATTGTACTCTACGATTGTGATTGGGGTGTACTCTGCTCTTTTCCATATAGGTACTTTCACTCCTGAAAGTGATAAAGTTGTCTATGGTCTCACACACCCAATCAACACATTTGAAGTCTGGTCTGTCGAGGTTGGTGCATAACAGCTATGACAATGTCAATAAAGATTTTTGATTTTTAACTTTTTATTTAAAAAAATATTAATAATAGTACTAATATTACAGAATGTTTTTAAATGATTATTTTTTTGCAATACTGATCTGACTTGCAATATCTAAGATTAAAAAAGTATCTTTTCATTGTAACATACAGGGACAACGTTTACATCATTTATAGACAAAATGTTTCGATTAATTTACCCCCTCATTCTATCAAGACCTTTGACTGGTGAAAATATCAACACTGGAGATGAATTGGGTTTCACATAATGGACTCTAGTGTATCAGACCAATCTAATTTTAGAGATGTAAATATCTGAGCAGAGTCAATGGGAGCCGGCTTCTGCTCACATTACCGGGCTAGTGGAAAAGCCATGCTGTAACCATAACATTATTACTTCACTTTAAACATATGGCTCAGGAGAGGTGAAAGAGTCCTGCAAAACCAAATGGAGGTTGTGTTTGATTATTTTTTCTCTGCTCTCCTGTGGCGGTCCGGAGTAAGAGCGGTCTGATGCATGTGACAAAAAGCATTTAGACACGAGGACTAGATGATGATGAATAAAATGAATAAGAAAAATGTTTATCTTTGGGTGAAATATAAACTGTGCAAAAAAAAAAAAAATCTGATTGTGATGAAAAGTCTAAAATACAAATCAAAAGGATAATATTTCACGCCATAGTTGAGTGAAAAGTTTTTGGGTAATGCAGCATTAAAAAGGTTTCTTAGTATAACGGCTGCATGTGCCATGTATGGTTTAAACACTCTTTCTTCTTCTTTTCTTTCCCCTCTCAAGTTCCTTTATTACCCGTACCTGTGGCAGAGGTTCTGGGAGGCTGAAGGCATTTCAAATAAGCTGTCCGTCATTTTTAAAGGGCCAGGCTGGACTCCTGGAAAGCCAAGACTGGGAGACATTGCTGATATACCCCAGGTGGGAAACTCTTTGTTTGTTTTTTTTACTCCATTATATCTTACTATATTCTGATAAAATGGTAGACCGAAATGAATTGAGAATGTACTTTAAATTCTAATCAAATTCCTACATTTCTAGGAAATTTTAAATTGAATGAAATAAATTGCTGTAGTTTAAGAACTCATAAACATTATATATATTTTTATAGATTTATATTTAATTCATACACTACCATTCAAAGGTTTGGGGGCAGTTTTTTTTTTTAAATGAATACTTCTATTCAGCAATCATGCATGAAAAGACTTTTACATTGTTTCAAACTTTCCACAAAAAAAAATTAAGCATCACAAATGTGTTTAATGTTGATGATAATAAATGTTTCTTGAGCAGCAAATCAGCATATTAGAATGATTTCTGAAATATCATGATGTGACACTGAAGACTGAAGTAATGATGCTGAAAATTCAACTGAAAATTAAAAATCACAGGAATAAATGACATTTTAAAATATCTTAAAATAGAAAATAGTGATTTTAAAAAATATAATGTGCTCAACCAATAGTATGGGTTTGGGACAGGACTATCTGTTTGTCCGACCAATTGAGTTAGTACTCAGGAAACACTGTTCCATTTCTGCTAATGGGGCAGAAAATTTCACCTTTATCTTTAAAATTGGAAACTCTTTTGTTCCTTGCCTTACTTGTCATTTACTACCTGCTGTTTCTGTAAAAAGAAAAGAGGTCTCCCAAATGACTCCCTGAGTTCCCACATATAAAACAAACTCACGTTTCAAACAGGCTTTACAAGTGTGCGCCGTTGCCAAATGAATCTTAACCGCCTTTGTGAGCCGAAGCACAATAGGCTCATTTTCACTCGTCTTTAAAAAGCGGGCTTTTTTTGGGCCTGATCAAACAGCAGGCCTGCGACAAGGTTTTAAAGTCTTCTCATCAGGAGAGCGGCGGTTTGCTTTGAAACGCGTCTAACTGCGCCACATACTCACAGACGCAGTTTCACACTCTGAGAAAGCCTCTCTCTCTCTCTCTCTCTCTCTTTCTGTCGCTCTCACCATGTTACAATTAAAGCCACCTCAAAGTAGGCCCTGGTGATCCTAAACATGTGGAGAGAGAAGGAATTTGACAGAAATATCTTGAAAGGCCCTCGGTGATGCAGACCGGGGTGTGCCTGTTGTTTCTCCTGTGGAGTGGAGGAGAGGAGCAGCGAGGGAGACCGGCTCGGATGTGTTGATTTCTGAGGGAAAGCAGAACACCAGGGTTCTGGTGTGAGGGAAACCCGCACGTGTCTGCAGCTGAGACAGCCTCAGGAATTCTTAGGAAATCATCAGTGATCAAATTCTCAGTGATTCATGCCTATACAACTGATGTATGTAGCAGAGTTGTTTTAGGTCGGGATCCAAACAGTAATGTAATTTGAGTTAGGTAGTCAATCTGGTTTTTCGAGCATGGTGGTTGCTTTGTTCCTGGTCCAAGGTAGTCTACTAGCGCTAACCAACTTGACCTTGGTCCTACCAGCTCTGATCTACAATCTCTAGACCATTTTAACCAATTGATGGCTCTAATTAACCAACTTGGAACAGCTAAAAAGCATCTAAAAAATACCAAATAAAATCAATAAAAATAATAGTTAATAAAAATGATCTCACCGATAATGCGCTTAGTGGTAGCCAAAAAAGTGGCAAATTGTTGTTTCTAAACATTATATTTGAAATGATGTTTTGTTTTTTTATGAGGTTTTATTGGTCTTTCTCTAATCAGATTACAGGAGAGGAAAAGCCTTACGATCCAGCATGGTCCTTTTCGATGCAAGCCTATGTGTTCATACAGTTCATACTTCTATTGGATGTATATAACAACTTGTTAATGGATCAAACGGTAGGTACCCTTTTTTTGTTTTTCTTCCCTTTCACCATTGAAATTGACATCAGATTTTTTCCAGAAATGTGCCCGACTGAAATATCAAAGCTATCATCTGAATGCCATCTTTCATTGTCATCTACAAGATCTTTTTTAAGGCTTTTAATTTGCTGTGTGGTTAATGCTACCTCGCAAAGTCTATTATCAACCTCAGTCTCTCTCTCATTATCCTAAAAATCCTTTAATAATAAGGCCTTTTTACTAGGCCTTAGTACAGACAGAATACTTTGAAGTAATCTTTGTCTATTATTTTTCAAACCCCCCACCCATTTAAAAACAGAGATGTTCAGTTGCCCTTGTCCGTTATCCTTGGAAGTCCATGTTCCCCAGGCATAGTTTTGGTTAGCCAGAATATGTGGCCCCACCCTGCCTCCCCACTGAAATGAAACGGCCTGTTTTCCTGTGATTCCTACCTCTGCGGTGCTCCTTTAGTTGTGGCTCTCGGTGAAGTGTCCCCTGGATCCCTCTCTGGCTCCACCAGCAAATAAAACTGCCGGTCAGCGGTCCAGCAACCAATACAAGTCCTCTGACAAATTGCCCAGCCCCCTGGGAACCTTCCTTTTCCTTTTCCATGGAAAATAGCAAACTGAGGCCTTCAGCCTTAGCAATAAATATTATAATATCTCTTTGTCCGTTTGCATTCACTTCGATTGACAAGTGATGCTACAGCTCTGATTAGTGCCTCTTTAAAAAGAAGGAAAACATTGATTTTTTGTGTTGACCATGTGATCTTTCAATTGCATCATCCATGCAGGGCTATCAATCCTGCTGGATGTTTGACTAACTGTTCATTATGGAAGGTCTGTGCACTGACCTCTGATGAAATGCAAATTTCGGAAGATGCCCCCTCCCCCTTCCCCCCTCTGCCCTCTTGCTCTGTTATTTTTGAAACTGGATATGGAAAGGCTTTAAAAATTAACTAATCAAAATAGATTTTTTTTTTTTCCTTTTTGTTAATTGTTGAAAAATGAGCCAGCGCTTCAGGGCTGAGGTCTGGGATCTGGAGTCTGTCTTGAGTCACACAGGAAAAAGTCAGTAATTGTTTGCTGGTGTCATATCAAATATGTTATGAGGTCGCCCACCTGACTTAACCGCTGCTGAGTAAGGTGGGTTAGCAAGGTCAAGAAAACCCTCATTATCATTGTTCCTTGTATTAACAGCAAATTATCACCAGATTATGATTTCAGAGTAAATCCATCCATAGAGGTGTGCCAATTCAGATTTAGATGATACTTCCCTAACGGTTGGCCTTGAGTTCTTGGAGCGTCCTAGTCCTGACATGACACCTAAATGTGTTAGGTTACTTGTATACCCCTGTGTTGCATGAGGACATCTTTCTATATTTTGACTGAATTGAGTGAGACATAAGGATATTTTTCCAAATCATGACCTAAATTATTGTTCCCTCTTACCTACAGATGCTTTCTGAGATGACTGTACTTCTCATGACTGCCTACGTATTACTTTCTCTAACCTGTCTGGGATTCTTGATAGATCAAAGGTACAGCTCCTATTTTATTTTATTTTTTTATTTATTATTTTTTTTTTTTTATTATTATATATATTTTTTTTTATTGTTTTATTTATTTATTTAGTTTTATTTTATTTTATTATATTACCAAACAGTACAGTAAAAAATATGGAAGCCTGTTTCCGCCACTGAAAAAAAAAAAAAAAAAAAAAAATTGCGACTTTTTATCTCACAATTGCGAGATATGAAGTCAGAATTGTGAGAAATAAAGTCGCAATTGCGAGATATAAAGTCGCAATTCTGAGAAATAAAGTCGCAATTGCGAGAAAAAAAGACAGAATTGCGACTTTTTAGCTGTGTCCCAATGTGAAGGCTGCATCCTCCGAAGGCCGCGGACTTCGAAGGATGCAGCCTATTCGTCCTTCGAAGGATGCAGCCTATTCGTCCTTCGAAGGACGCACCTTGTAGCCTTCATAGGATTTCCTAATTGCGCATCCAGGTGTTCCCGATTACCGCTCCATGGCGCCAAGCAACAGTGCGAGACGGAGCTGCCATCCTGATGATTAATTTGTTATAATTGAGTAAACAGCTATGGAGCCAGAATTGGCTATTGTCATTTTTATGTTTTATATTTTACTGAGGATGTTAAATACATGAATTTTCTAAACGACATTTAGGCCACTTGTCTTTAAAATCAATTTTTTAGGAGGAAAAAGCTCAGTATAATAGAATAAGCAAAAAAAGACTTCACATATAAAAAAGAAATATAACACAAACACAAGGATAGGTTATATAAAAATAAAACATTCATAAATTATTTTATGATTAACATATTACTGTCTTCAGTGAACTCAACGCAAATGATAATAATATTATTATTATTAGCCTACATTTAGGCTACATATTTGTTCCGCTTTTATCCAAAAAAGGAACAAAGAAATTCGTCAAATGTCAGTCATAATACAGGGCTAAGATTATCACAAATAAACACAAGATTTTGACGCAAATGTGTGTGGGAGTGTGAGCGCGCACTGCATGGCACGGAGGCGCGGCCGCGAACACTTGCATTTTCCCATCAACAGTGGAAACAACTTAAAAAATACTCTATAATTTCTGGTCATACAGAAAAGAATAATACATCATTCGCAACTACTTTTATTTGTCCAAACTCACTTAACAAGAAAACGTTGTGCTTTTGTAAAATAAAATAAAACAATCAGTCGCGCTTTCATGATCTCCGTGAACTGGAGCGCGTCTCATAAATGAAATGAAACAAAATATACCTAGCCTAAAGCTTGAAATGTTCACTTTTAAACGAACAATTAAAATGCCTCGTTATTTATTCAGACACATTTATTATCATTAGCCTATAAATCATGGTTCCAGAGACATGGCTCTTCTCATTCAGCATTGCGGGAAAAATATAATTTCCAGGTTCTAATCTGGCCTTAGAAACCCAGTAAAATCGACATTTGTCCCATAGTAATTTGTGAATATTTTAAATGTTTAATAAAGGGGCAAAAAGTCTTTTTTTTTTCTTTTTCTTTTTTTTTGCAGCATTTGTGTAGCCTACAGTTCAAATTTTGGTGTTCAACTTTGGCTTTTAAAAATACAACAACCTTTCATTTTTAGTTTTTCAATTACGGGTAAAAAAAAAGAAAAACAAATGGACGCAAAAGTAGGCTACCTTATATTATTAAATATTTCAAATAATGTATTTGTAGAAAGGTTTGATAGTCAATCATAATACTAGTAAAATCAAAGACTTTAATCTAAAAAACTATCACTAAACTATTTTTAGTTTAATAGTCTGTGTAAATTTGCATCCATTCGTTTTTAATTTTTTAACCCGTAATTGAAAAACGAAAAATGAACGGTTTTAAAAGGCATAGTTGAACACCAACATTTGAATTTGAACTGTAGGCTACACACCAAATGCTGCACCAAAAATGCTGTCGTCACCGGCGCGCAGTGAATTATGGGGTAGGATCAGGGTAGGATAGGCCGCTAAGTGTCCATTTATGTATCCTTCCTTTCACGGGGAAACGAAGGGTGCATTTGGCGTCGCTTTTGAATCAGGGTAGCCTTCGTCGCGCCGCGATGACGCAACCGGCCTTCGAATACGGCCTTCGAAGGATGCGGAATTGAATTGGGACAGCCTTCATCGCGCTGCGGTGACGCAATCGGCCTTCAAATACGTCCTTCGAAGATGCAGCCTTTGAATTGGGACAGCCTTCGTCGCGCCGCTGTGACGCAATCGGCCTTCAAATGCGGCCAATCGGCCTTCAAATGCAGCCTTCGGAGGACGCAGCCTTCACATTGGGACAGCTATAATCTCACAATTCTGACTTTATAACACATAATTGCGAGTTTATATCTTGAAATTCTGACATCTTTTCTCAGAATTGTGAGATATAGACTAACTTTTTTCCCCTCAGAATAGTTTATATCTCACAATTCTGACTTTACAACACGCAATTTCGACTTTATATCACGCAATTCTGACTTTATATCTCGCAATTGCGACTTTATATCAATCAATTCAGACTTTATATCTCGCAATTCTGACTTTATAACACGCAATTCTGACTTTATAACACGCAATTGCGACTTTATATCAATCAATTCTGACTTTATAACACGCAATTGCGACTTTATATCACGCAATTCTGACTTTACAACCTGCAATTGCGACTTTATATCAATAAATTCTGACTTTATATCTCGCAATTGCGACTTTATATCAATCAATTCTGACTTTATAACACGCAATTGCGACTTTATATCAATCAATTCTGACTTTATAACACGCAATTGCGACTTTATATCAATCAATTCTGACTTTATAACACGCAATTTCGACTTTATATCTCACAATTCTGACTTTACAACACGCAATTTCGACTTTATATCAGGCAATTCTGACTTTATAACACGCAATTGCGACTTTATATCAATCAATTCAGACTTTATATCTCGCAATTCTGACTTTATAACACGCAATTCTGACTTTATAACACGCAATTGCAACTTTATATCAATCAATTCTGACTTTATAACACGCAATTGCGACTTTATATCACGCAATTCTGACTTTACAACCTGCAATTGCGACTTTATATCAATAAATTTTGACTTTATAACACGCAATTGCGACTTTATATCTCGCAATTCTGACTTTATAACACGCAATTGCGACTTTATATCAATAAATTCTGACTTTATAACACCCAATTTCGACTTTATATCACGCAATTCTGACTTTATATCTCGCAATTGCGACTTTATATCAATCAATTCTGACTTTATAACACGCAATTGCGACTTTATATAAATCAATTCTGACTTTATAACACGCAATTGCGACTTTATATCAATCAATTCTGACTTTATAACACGCAATTGCGACTTTATATCACGCAATTCTGACTTTATAACACGCAATTGCGACTTTATATCAATCAATTCAGACTTTGTCTCGCAATTCTGACTTTATAACACGCAATTGCGACTTTATATCAATCAATTCTGACTTTATATCACGCAATTCTGACTTTACAACCTGCAATTGCGACTTTATATCAATAAATTCTGACTTTATAACACGCAATTGCGACTTTATATCTCGCAATTCTGACTTTATAACACGCAATTGCGACTTTATATCAATAAATTCTGACTTTATAACACCCAATTTTGACTTTATATCACGCAATTCTGACTTTATATCTCGCAATTGCGACTTTATATCAATCAATTCTGACTTTATAACACGCAATTGCGACTTTATATCAATCAATTCTGACTTTATAACACGCAATTGCGACTTTATATCTCGCAATTCTGACTTTACAACCTGCAATTGCGACTTTATATCAATAAATTCTGACTTTATAACACGCAATTTCGACTTTATATCACGCAATTCTGACTTTATATCTCGCAATTGCGACTTTATATCAATCAATTCTGACTTTATAACACGCAATTGCGACTTTATATCAATCAATTCTGACTTTATAACACGCAATTGCGACTTTATATCTCGCAATTCTGACTTTACAACCTGCAATTGCGACTTTATATCAATAAATTCTGACTTTATAACACGCAATTTCGACTTTATATCACGCAATTCTGACTTTATATCTCGCAATTGCGACTTTATATCAATCAATTCTGACTTTATAACACGCAATTGCAACTTTATATCAATCAATTCTGACTTTATAACACGCAATTGCGACTTTATAACACGCAATTGCGACTTTATATCAATCAATTCTGACTTTATAACACGCAATTGCGACTTTATATCTCGCAATTCTGACTTTATATCTCGAAATTCTGAGAAATAAAGTCAGAATGAAAAATAAAAAAGGTAATTGCGACTTTTTATCTCACAATTCTGTGGCGGAAACAAGCTTCCATAAAAAATGTATCAAAAATACATAAGCAAAAAAATAACATTTTCTTGTACCTTTCTTTCAGGGCTAATGCAGTTGAATTGGAGATGATGAGATGCGTTTTGATAATGGTTCTTCATCGGTTTGGTTACATTAAACCTCTGGTGCCTCTTTTGGCTTTTCCAACTGAGGTAAGTTTGACTGACACATGCACGGCATTATCACAATCTCTATTGCAGATTTCCATCTTCCACAAGATGCTCTTTTGGATTATTCTCAAAACATGCTGGATAACATGATCAAGATTTGTTTTTTTCATGCAGCTTAAGTGCCGCAAAAGAGGGGCAAATCAAATACTGCTGTAGCATTCTGATTTCTCAAACGTTTTACTCGTTGAAGTAATAGAAATAGATGGTTTCTTACTAGTGCTATCAGACTTGTGTATATGTTAACTTCATCCTAAATGCATCTGTGTTCGAGTGCATGTTTTTCGGATCTGGCACCGTGTCTTGCTGCACGCCTCGGTGATGTATGACTCCAGATGCATGGCCCAATTGACCATAAAATTGCTGTGTGTGTGTTTCTGGCACTTGCAGTGTGGGCCGTGCATCTCGGCTGACCTTTCATTAGTGCGCCACCTCTCTCTTCACAGCCCTCCCTCCATCTCTTCTCTTCTCACCATCCAAGCTTTATGCAAAGGCAGTGTTTCTGGAATCAATTAACCATGTCTGCGGCTCGCCGTGGAAGACTGATTAGATTTACACAAGAGCTGAATTGCTCATTTCACTGTGAGAGCGTGCATCTGTAAGCTCAGGTGCTGAAATTCCCCCAGAACAGTTTTACACAAAAGTAGCGTCATGTTGGATTTTTGTGTCCATGTGAACTGTATCCATAGACTCAACCTGATTGAGTATGTTTCGTTAATAGACCTCATACCAGGGTAAGAGTTTCCTTTCCTTTACATTAGTCTATTTGCAGCAATGCCATCATAATCCTTCAGAAACATTATCAGTTCCTAAAAATTGCCCTGTCATTTCCACACTCATTCCAGCTTCTGTTTATTTCAGGTAGTAGGGGATGATATTCTTCCATCCTTGCCTGTTTTGTTTTTTTCCATTCGGTGTTTTTCCACCCATCAAAGCTAATATTTGTCGTCCTCATCTCTCAAGGGTGAAACAAAAATTACACCACTGCAAAGACCCACCCCACTTTTTTGAAGGAAAAGGTTAAGATAATATTATCAAGATCAGCTTCACACAAAAGCTGCAGTCAGCTTATCTTTCCACAGCACCTGACGCCCCCAGCACACTGCAGGAGAGGAGCTCTGGAGCTTGAGCCGGAATTAGACTGATAAGAAGAGAGTTAGCAAGTATTTCAGGTGATTGGGAACAGTTGTTTCCACTGTTAGTTCGAAGTTGTCACCAGTGAATTGGTGGTTTGTTTGGGATATCTTGGAAAAGATAGCATTACAGCAGTGCGTACAGGGAAAGAAAATAATTTAAAAAAATAATTTTTTAATATCTTTTTAGGTGATCGACATAGAGGAAAAGTGACAGGAAATTGTTGGGCGAGAGAGTGGGAATATTATTTCAGACTTGAACCTACATTAAAATTAGCCAATTTTTGGTTTGTTTGTTTGTAAAGTTATTTAGCAATTTGACTTCTATTGTAATGTTTAGTATATGTTAATATAACATCCATATTTACTTTGTACAGTACCATTCATGCTCACTAAGCCTGCATTTATATGATCAAAAATACAGTAAAAACAGTATTATTGTGAAATATTATTACAATCTAAAATAATTGTTTTCCATTTGAATATATTTTAAAATGTAATTTATTTCTGTGATGCAAAGCTAAATTATCAGTACTCCAGTCTTCAGTGTCACATGATCCTTCAGAAATCATTCTAATACGCTGGTTTGCTGCTCATTTTTTTTTACTATTATTATTGTCAATGTTGAAAATAGTTATGCTGCCTAAAAGTTTTTTTCAATTAAATAATTTTTTTCTGGATTCTTCGAATAGAAGTACAAATGAACTTTTGTAACATTAAAAAGTCTTTACTGTCTCTTTTGATCTATTAAAAGTATTAATTTCTTTTAAAAAACAACAACAAAAGAAATCATACTGACCCCAACATTTTGACATTTTTTTAATATCCAACCCACTGGAAAATATCACGGTTCTATTATTTTGGTGTTATTTTAGTATTTTGATTAAAAGCATTCCTGATATAGAAATATAGCTAATTTATTCGATTTAGTCTTGACGTCTGTATTAACAATGACATAATCGGTAGCAGTATGAAGATCGCCTCTCTTGATCGAAGAAGGCTAATGCTAATATAGAGTATTGGCTTCAGGTTGCTAAGCAAGCTGCCATGCTGAACAGAACGTTCCTTACAAGCCTCAGGAGACCCATCCATCTTGGACCTTGTCTCAGAATCCCATTGAACTGATTTACAGAAAGTCCAGTGAGAGTCACACGAGGCTGACACGACGCCCTTCACCCCGGCATCAAAGCGTTTGGAGCCGGACTGAACCAGGCTTCGGTCTCTCGGCTTCATTTCAGAGAGTCAGCGCTTGTTTGACTGCCAAAAGCAGTAGGGGGTTTCAGTAATAGGTCAGCACTGCCACCCCGGACGAGAACTCGGACTGTTTAACAGGTTTTTTTTTTTCTTTTTTTCTATGGCTTCGTGTGTGTGGAAAGCCAATGATTCCTATACAGTAGCTTAGGTATTTAAGGTTTATTTAATTTTAGGTGTTCATTACTGACATGAAGAGTGTACAGGTTGAAAACGCCCCCTCACTAGTCGTACATCACAAAGGTGACAGCAGAGATTTAGTACTGTACACATTTGGCCCAAACAACTGCCCTGAAGACTCGACTCTTTGCTTATTAAACCCGAGTGTGAATGTGTGCTGTTGTTTAGAATATATCTTTGTATTTTCTAGTGCTTTTATGTGTGTGAAAGAGAGAAAAAAGCTGAGGGAAACAGAAAGAGAGACACAAGGGGTCAACTGAGGCAGGAAGAGCAGTAAAAAGAAGGGAAAAATACTTTATCAAAACATACACATCCTTGTGTTTTTCTACTTAAAATAAACCTGCGAAGGTAAATTGGTGAGAAAAAGCCTTTTAAATTGATTGAAACATCTGCCAGTTTGTCATTTAACCCTCAGGTGCTCCTTATTTAAGGTCACATTCATGCTCCTCATGGCCAAAAGTGGCAAAACACCTCAAATGTCATTGTTTTTTTTTCTCTCAGTTAAATCAATGTTTTTGTTCCATATTACTTTTTAATTCATATTTGTATTTTGAGGGAACTTTATGGTAATATTTATGCCATAATTATGATACATTTTGTTTCTGTAATATTTACAATATACAGTATAAAAAGCCTAGAATGGAGTAATGTCTCAAAAGTGAATAATTCGTGCATTTGTACTTAGTAGAGTCTTTGTCCAATTGCGGTTCCCCAAAGAAAAGTTGTAGTATTGTCTTAAGATATTTCTCCTACAAAGAGAGAGCACTGTTACATATTACAGAATGTAATAATTTTAGGAGAATTTGATGAGTTTATATTGTAACCTCTGACCTTTAGCCTAATTGAAGACTTTGGCATGCCGGAAGCAAATCTAAGCGGTCTTGAGACACATTTGAGATTTTAAAGGTTACAAGAAAATCTGAGAAGCAGAAGACTTGAGTAAAATGCACTTCGTTTAATAATAATAATAATAATAATTTTTCTATGAATAAGGGTAAACAACATGCATTGTAAAAATAGCATTGCCATTAGATGTGTGGAATCAGGTAGCAGGAGGTCAGGAAGCACAGAGACATGCCCTTTCCCTTTGTCTCTCTCTCTCTCTCTCTCTCTCTCTCTCTCTCTCTCTCTCTCTCTCTCTCTCTCTCTCTCTCTCTCTCTCTCTCTCTCTCTCTCTCTCTCTCTCTCTCTCTCTCTCTCTCTCTCTCTCTCTCTCTCTTCTCTCTCTCTCTCCTCTCAGAGGGAAACAGCTGTGCTGCTCCTGAGGAAACTACGGTTATTTATTTCCCATTGGAGAGGTAGTTCTGATAGACAGAATATGATTTTGGACTCTGTTTAGAGCTCGGATGCAGTTTATGATCTTGAACGCAAGGAAGGAGGGGCAGTTAAGGTTACAGCTTTTTGGAAGAATGTCACTTTTGGCCTGTTTCCACAGTGGCTTCTGTGAACCTCAACTCCAAATGCATCATGGGAGATTCTTTGGCCACATGCTTGACCTTTTGGCTTTAATTCTTTTTTTAATGTAGTATATTTTCCTGGTGTGTGACCTTTTGGGGCTCTCACATTCAATTGGAAATAAGATTTTGAACAATGTAATTGATACACATACATTGAGTCCACAGTGAAATTGTAACAAAATCATAATGCATTACATTGTATTATAATGTATTTTTTTATAATCACATTCATTGCAATAATGTATAACTCTTCAAACACATAATTATATGTACAACTTTGCTAAATTAAATTTGAAATATGTAACTGTTTACAGAAAACTACAACTTTCATAAACTAGAGTTTGCCTATTAATATGAACCTTTTTTCCATTTGAATTGAAATATCTGTTTGTTTTCTGCAGGCCTTTGTCTTAATCTCTGCAGTCTACTGGAGTCTACAGTGTGTGAACCAGCTAACTAACAGGATGAAGAAACAAAACTAGATAAGACACCAACTGACAACAAATAACCTCACATTGACACATTACACAGTTTTATGAATCCGTCTTCTTACAAACTTGAGACTGATTTTGGTTTGGCATTGAAAAGATGCTATTTTAAAATGGTCTGAATGAAGATATTAACACACTAAAGACATGTATTGTAAAGACAATATGGTTCTAACCAGCTTAAAATGAACTTTTAACACGTAAGCACATATAATGCTTGCAGTAAATTAAACACAGAAGGTACCAACTTATAATAACTGTAGCTTTATCTGCGTGCATATTTGAAATGTATTCAAGAATCTTAGAGTTTTTTTGAAGAACTGTGTGTAAAATGATACATTTTAGATAAGTTTTATCATACAGAATCTACCTGAACTCTTACTGACAACATGAAATACCTACATGCATTTGTTTTTAAATTTTAACATGTAATATTTTATAGCTATATATATATATATGTTTTATTTTAGGAAAAATCTTTTGATTTGACTACTCAGTCTGAATAAACCAATGGAGGCTGGTTGTTAGCTGTGGAGTGATCTCATGTAATTCTACAAATTACCACCAGGTGGTACTAGCAGGGCCACTAAAATTGTGTCCCCATTTCATTCAGTTGCTCATTGCTACTTAGGTTTATTGATCATTCCATTGCTTTTTGACTGGGACAGTTCCAGTGGAGAACAATTCCTGTAGGACAAGAATAACAGAGCGGCTTGGAGCCACTTACCCTTACAATTAGTTGAAAGAAAGTATTTGTTTTGAATTAATATTATTATTATTAATGATGGAAATAAATGAATAAAAAAAGAATACCTTATGGTGTGTTTTTAAAAACTGAACCACTTCTTGAGTACATTTGGGTATAATAAATCACATATATTCTATATAATTTATCACATCAGCGTACAGTCAGCCAGACAAATAATGCAACACTTAAACAAGCTGCCTCCCAGCACAATAACAATATTAACTTGTAGATGGAAATAAAAATAGAATAAATATGTTCTTCACCAAACATTTGAGCTTGTTTTACATTTGTTTTACACATATGCATTGGTTTAAAATAGCAGCTTTCTGCCAGAATGTGACTATTTCTGCAGTTTAATATCCAGTTTCATAACATCTGGATTTCACACCTGGATTGAAGTGAGGTGGTGTGCTTAAGCAGTGTAAATAATTAATGATAAATTTGTTTGATGAATGTGAATTTAATGTTACTTAAATGTTACTGCTCATTAAAGCAGCAGTAGTTGATGTTTAGCAGTGTAGAATATTAACACATTTAGTATTTTCAGTGGCAACATGGTGAAACATCCCCAAACAACTGCTTTATATTGCTTTTGATGAATTATAGCACATTTGCATAGTATATAAGCCCTTTTATACCTGCTTTGCTGAATATCATTTGCTCACAAATAAGCACTGTATGTGTGTGTTGAATAGGAGCTGTAAATAACAGTTCCTTAGGGAAGATGGTCCCCATTGACAAACATTTAAAAATATTATTCAAATGAGATCGGTTATTCTGTTCAAAGGGTTTGGAGTCTAAACTACGCATGCGTGTTAACTTCTGTTATGATATTGTTTATACAAACTAGCACTGCTGTACAGGTATATACACATGACAGCTTGGCTTGACACAAATCTCTTTCCTGCCATCACCGACTGTTAGTTGCATGTGTGCACATTGAGTTTGAGGTGAAAGCTCACTGATGTGAGGATAACACACATTAGCAATGACCCGAACCTCTTTTGTGCTGATATTTTGTCAGGTTATTACGTGCGGACTGCAAGATCCGCATTACAAGTACAATACAATCAACTGGAAACAATTTTCAGAGACATGATTAGGTAAAACGTATAATGCGGTAAAAATAACAGGCCTGTTCTCCTCGAAATGGCAGATGGGTCCTGTTAGCCTCACAAATGTGGTGTTCTGCTGCCAGAAAAGACCCAAATGACTCATGTTCAGATTATAGCATTACACTGCTTGCATCAACTGGAAGAACTAGAAAGAAACAGGCCCCGTCCTTTCTGTCTCCTATAGCCTGGAATGAAGCTCTTCCACGGGATGTTGACCACAGTCAAATATACAGTATTATAGGATTTGTGGCCTCATTTAGCCTTGTAACAAGTCTAAATGAGAGATTGTACAAGATTGTTTATAAAATATGTGCTGTTTACGTTGCGTTTTCCAACTACACAGTTGGCAGTAATTTGCCTTTGTTAATTCCTTCCAAAAAGCTATTGAAAAGTTATATGCTCTGTGCATTCCCACATATTATTGGTTAACTTAAAGGGATAGTTCACTGAAAATTTTTAATTTACTCAACCTCCATATTGTTCCAAACCGGTCTGACTTTATTTTTCTGTGGTGCACACCAGATATTTTGAAGAATGTTTGAGCAGTTTTGCATAGCCTACCAATGACTTCCATTGTATCGACAAACACTGAAGCCCCGTTCACACTACAAGCGACTTTGTCGCTGCAGGTCGCCAATGGCTGCGCTGGAGGGCGTTCCACTACTGGTTGCCTAGTAATGTTTGTGAGTGACATTCACGGATGTTACTCTATGTTAAAGCCTTGTTTATACTCGACGCGTCCGCAAGAGCGCGAAGTGCGCGCGGCAAAAATGACGTCATTGCGGTGTGGGCGGTCGTGCGCGTTGGGTGCGCAAGACCCCATTTCGCCTGGCGGTGTGCACGGCACTTTTTGTAACATCGCGCGCGGCGCCGCATCCGAAGGTGAACGACTTCGAGCCGAATCAGGCCGAACTGGTACGTCTGTACCAGCATGTTTATGATCCTTCTATACACAGAGACATTTGCATTGATGGGCGACCATAAAAGCCTCTCATTTTGTGAATAGGAACACATTTGCATTAAGCACCCAGTTTGCACTTGTCTAAAGTAACTGCTTACATTTATAAAATAAGCCTACAATAGCAGAAGTAAGCCCTGCTGATGAAATTAAGGTTTAAACACTCTTCAATAAGGCTTCAGTTGTTTAACGAGTTTGTACAAGAAAGTACAATACACCTACTGCATTTATTACTCTTTTAATATGAATCAGCTATTAATAAACTACTAATAAACGGCAAACTACTTCTTCACTGCTGATTCCTGGTGGTTTAGAGGAGAATTACTCCGAGTCGCCCCCTGTCGTTTCACAGAATAGCACAACGGCGAGCGCGTCAAGTATAAACGCCTCGTCCGTTTGGAGAGGTGCGCGCGCAGTCAGCGGAGTATGGAAAGCCGTTAGGGCCAAAAACACGCGAATTTTAACGCGTATTTCACGCGTATTTCACGCGTAAAATACGTGTAAAATACGCGTGAAATACGCGTGACATAATCAACTCGTATTTCACGTGTGAAATACGCGTTAAAAATCAGTATGAACGGGTCCGTGTCATTGGCTGCTGAAGACTTGGGTCTAACCATTTGTGTGAGCTTAGAGGGGTGTACCTTTCATAGACTAGGCTACCACCAGTTTACATTCTATAGATCAGCTTATTCAGGTTTTTTGTATAACCTATATGAATAATATATTTAAATAGCAGTTTTATGACAATTAATTTTTTTTATGACAATTAATTTTATGACAATTTAGATAAAAATAAAATTAACTTGTTTTTCTCCACTCATGCCTTTTTGTAAATAAACACATTAGTGGACATTCTAGCTTTAACATCAAAGCATTAACGTGTGTGGGGAAATCAGTTACAGTGGAGGTAACCAATGCAGGTTTATGATCACTGCAGGTTTAAGATACAGACCACTGTAATCAATATCTGTCTTTGGAAAACAACGTGAGCTTTTGTTGTGCTTACATTTACAGCTATAGCAAGCAGGGGGCGCTTTTTCAAACCTTTTTGTTCTGAAATTGGGCACTCAGACAAACTGTAATTAGGTATACAGGTGATATTATCAATTTAAAGGAATTTAATGACTTAAAGTATTTAAATATGTTATTTAAGGCTTTCAGGATTAGAATGGGAGCTTGTGCTCAGGTCAGGACAGGTATAAGAACTTGATTTGGCTTTCCTGACAGCAGAAGTATTTTACTGCTACCAAAATTAAATATCCTCCTATTTCTTTTTTTCTTTTTCGTCGTTTTCTTGTGTAGCCCAAAGAAAATAGATAGATTGCATTTTTATGAACAAATATTTTTACCAAGATTGCCCCCTTTTGCATATTAGTACATTTACATATTATTATTATTATTATAACAGGGACAATGGACAGTGAAGAACTGTCCCAGAATTAGCTACAGAGCTAAATTTCATCTGCAGTCCCTGGCATTTGGCAGATGCTTTTATCCTAAGTGCCTTACATTGCATTTCAATGTACACATTTACGTTCTTATCAGTTCTTGCTTTCCCTGGGAATCGAACCCTTGCATGAATTTTGCAAGCGCTAACATTCTACGGTTTGAGCTACAGGAAAAGTAGGAATTTATCTGTAAAACAAATCAACCCAACTCAAGATTTCTAATATTAAAAGTTAACATTTGATTGTGGAAAAGTTTACAGCTGTGGTTCTTGATCAATGCAATTGTAATGAATATCTGTTAAAACAACATAACCTTGCTTGCAGGGACCAAATTACAGAAACGTCCTATCTTAAAGGTATTGTTCACTCAATTTAAAATTCTGTCTTCATTAACTCACCCTCATGTTGTTTCAAACATGCATGAGCCTCTTTGAATGTTTGGTTACTAATATTTGAAGATTATTGTTAACCAAACATTGCTGGTCCCCATTGACTTCCATAATATTTTTTTCCATAGTATGGAAGTTCCACACAAGAAAGAAACTTTGGAACAACATAAGGGTGTAAATGGGTGAACTATACCTTTAAGCCCCAAGTTATAATCTGACAAGTTCAGTGTTTTAAATTGGTTCCAAAATGAAATCACAGTGGTTACTTAAGACAAGATATTACTCTGACTGAAGTTGTTTCTGCAATACAGCCTCAGGAAACCATTCCAGGTCATAATTTCAAGTCCTCCCTCAGTGTCATATATTATTAACTAATATTCAGGGCAATTTGTACTTACCTCAGACTTGTCAGCAGCTTAATATCCTTTTATCTTAGCTCCATATCCTTTATATCTTTAAACATACAATGCTTTAATAGTACAATAATACAAATGCAATAAATTAAACTGTGCAATACTCAAATCTATATTTTCTACTGTTTAGTTTCATAAGTAGAGTATATGTACAAGTAATCTTAATTTTTAAGAT